GTCGGGAATCGAAATTAAATGYYTCTGCAAGCTTTTAWYGRCTACAAATCGGATCWGGATCAGTCATTGAAMGTAGTGTRACCACTGTGTTATAGTGGTCTGAYCTTTCCATAGAAAAACTKAATTTCCATGGTTCAGTTTGTGTSGTATCTATGTRYTCTAGTGGTCCGATATCAGYGATTGCGACAMATCAGTTTCTTGAGGAGTAACGGACGTGTGCAGAAAAATTTTACGCGATTCAAAAACTGAGAGCCTACTTTCTTATATACCGACAGACGGACATGCCGAAATCGACTCAGCTCGTCATGATGGCCATTTATTTATAAAATTTTGAAAGTCTCGACGTTTCTTTCTAAACAATATTTATTCCCTACAGGGTATGTATGCACATATGCATTTAGTGCTGTAATGGACAGTGCTTTTTCGTAGTTGTTCAAACTAGTCGTCGTCAAGAGCTACGAATATTTGAAATGTTAAAAGAAATTTAGAGTAATGTTATTGTTTATAATCGCTTGCCTACTCATACAAGATACATGCACAAAGCCTAAACTGACTAAAAATGCAAAATATTTACTTWGGCTTATTGATATTTATTTAGTTTGTTGGCTATTCAAGAGGTGCTATATAAAATTAGTCCACATATTTACTTAGTCAGAAAAATTAGAGTTTCAGCGAGGGACGGGATGAAGTGTGAGCAACTATACAGTTATTATCTTTGTATCGGTAAAAAAATATGCTCAGAAAAAGTGTGTTGTTTGTTGTGGAGTTCATAGTGCTTGGTCAGATAAAAATTATCTAGTTACTAGAACAACTGTTCTCTGTATATAAACTGGTCTAGTATATGAGCTTAAAAAATACTTACGGACTATATGTTTTTAATATGTGACACAYTTGCAACACAATGACAACTGAAGACTGTTTATCGAGATTAAACTTCGTTGCTRTTTTTAGATTTTTGTGTTGAATCCTTCGCCATATTTAGGGAGTAGGCATGAGGGGACGCTGAAAGCATTATGTTGTTTTTTCYATCGTCACAAAATTCACAATTTTCCATCAATGCAAAMCTTTKCTGATTTCTCGGCGAAACCCTGCGKTAAGTAATTTTCACAGACTTCATTTGAAGCCAACTTTACTTTATTAAGCAAGTTTTGCATTGACCGAAACAAATGGTAGTAAGACGGTGAAACGTCGGCTCTATATGTTTGATGCATCAGAACTTCCCAGCCAAGCTCTCCCAGTTTTGCCGAGTCATCAAAGATGGGTGTGTTCTAGCGTTGTTCTGATGGAAGACGAAGCCTTTTCTGTTGATCAGTTCTGGCTGTTCATGTGGTAACCAAACATCGAGCCTCTTTTTGTAGCCAGCCTTTTCTAAATGGTTTAAAAMGGTTTGATGATGAATGTTAAGTTTCTTAGCKATGCCATGGCTGCTTATGTGATGGTCTTGGTAAATCTTTTACATAATTTCAATGACTTTTTCAACGATAGGATGACCAGAGCGAGRTGMATCTYCATATCGAWATTTCCAGAACTGAAGCGGGTGAACCATTGTTGTGCTATACGAACTRATACAGCATTGTCTCCGTAAACTTCACAAATTTCTTTGGTGGCACGCGTGGCATTCTTCCATTTTTTATACAAATATTTCAAAGTATTGTGCATTTGTTCACTACTCATTTTTGAACAGCTGTAACTTTTTTTCAACTTCCCCGAATTTAATTTWATTTTTTCAYAAACAAAGCTTRAAATCTCACCTTTCCAAYACTRTATGRTATGAGACAAYGTGATTGGTAGCACTGAAGATATACGACTGCAACGACATCTATTAACAAAMTRYGAAAAGACTACCCACTRTATAYATTTTCCCTCTAATTTTGTTTTCATAWATAAGTTTACATCATAATAATCGTTGTTATATTTATTTGATAAGACAATTATATCTAATACCCTCATTGAAAACTTTGAAAAAGTGATATATGTGCACAGTTGTAGTTAATATGAAATTCCCCATGCTTTGGCTTTGACAGAGTGAATTGTATTAGCAATCAGATAAGGCGATAGGTTTCTCAGCGTGCCGRTATGACTCAGGTTGACGCCGCTTTGTGTGTTTACAGTTGTTGTTGCCCAACTCARGTGGTGCAAAAATTCTCTGCTACCGATAAGATATTATACAYTCTTATCTCTTCGTTTGGTTGGCARKTTGTTGTCATAATTGCKGCCTAAGTGGTTGCAGGTCTTATGAGCATTTGTGTAAGCATATATAAATATTGAAAATAAATATTATTTGACAAATAATTGCTACGAGACTTATTAGTAGATAACATATGAGTCTTTTTTTAATGCTGATAAGCACTTGTAAGTATGTGGTCTTATTGTTTACAAATTTTAGGGTAAATGAAACGACGCTTTTGGTTTCAGACAAACCTTAGGAAAATCTTTTTACATACATTGGTAAAATATATTGACAGCAGTGTCTTGATATACATACATATGTATATCACAGTGTTGGTTTTCAGTGTGAATGATTTATTTCACTAAAAAAAAAAAATTAAAAATAAAAATAATAAATACTAGTTGGGATTATATCAATGCTTTTGATGAAAATTTACTCCAGTTTTTGTAAAGACATCTTGTCAAGCAAACAAGTTTTCCGTACAAACACTTAAGTTCCATCGCTCAGTTTGTATGGCAGC